ATCTCAGTCTCTTTCTCATGCGAATTACGGGGATTTGGGCCTTGTCGGGTGTCTGATGAAAATCCTTCGCGTCCGACTCATTAAAGAAAAAACCTTCGTCCAGTACGAGGTGAGTAATCGCTGTCCTGATATCCAGAAGCTCTTTTTGGTCATAAGAGACGGTGGCAGAAATATTCTGTACAAAATAAGAGAAACAGTGCAACCTACTGTGTGTCGTCTTTTTCAGCCGCTTCTATTGCTCTTCAATGTTGCCGTTTAAGTTCTGTTGGAGGCTTTAGCTGCTCCATGTCGTTAGCCAGCTAGCACTGCAAAACGACTAGCTACATGCACTGCACGCTCCGTTAGCTCCAGGGTGGTTATTTTTACCTCAGTCTCGTTAGCCCAGTGGCTAGTTCGCTAACGTTAGCTTGTTGACGTGAAGCCTCTTGGTGCCGTTCGGCATTTTCGACCAAAACACGATGATGGATGAGTCAACGGCGAGTTCTGTCACTCCCGGTACCATGTTGTATCTTTTTGTCTAAGAAATACTAAAGAAAACAACTTTTCTTTAAAACACAAGTCCTTCTATATTCAAGTTCTTCTTCTTCTATGATATAATTTGATGTGCCACCTACTGTGCGGGTAAATAATAACGATCCTCCCCAATAACATTAAATAATATAATTAAAATAATTATTAAATAATATAACAATAAATCTAATATCATACAAACGATCAAAAAAAATAATTTATGAAACAAAATCAACCTGCTTTTCAGTAAAAAAAACAAATTATAAGCAGGTCCCTACACAGGCTCAAAATACTCCTGTGAGGGCGAGACATTTCCTAGCGACAATAGTCCTTGTAGTGCTTTTGCCGTGAAGTCTTGGAGCCCCGAAAACTTCTCGGCTGCAGATATAATGATGTCCAGCTTCTTGATGTCCAGAAACCTGTGCTATACAAATAATCAATGTGGCTATAAATGCCACAAAATCTACTTTCTTCACATTGAGTGTATCCAGATCACTCGATTGACTTAAAACACCAGCAACTGGTTTCAATGCATCCACCGCCATATCTTCAACACTGTTGCCTCTTTCCCCTTCGACTCTCTTCACCGCCTCCACATAGGATATCCGCTGCACGGCCCTGACCCTTGACCCCTCGACCTCCTTCACCCTAACAGGGCACTATAAGAAGTCCGGAGTATGATCCCCACCACCGCTGCAACATTTTCAGATTCTTAAATATCATACTTCTCCCATCTGCAAACATTTGACACGTGACCATAACCTTTACAATTCCCACACTGTAATGGTTTGGACACAAATGCTCTCACCTCATACCTCACATATCCAAGCTTCACGTGTTCAGGTAGAGTCTCCTAAAACAACAATAGGCTTTTCTCCTTCCTTCCATTTACCCTACGGGTCAGGTGACGTGCACTGACCACTCCTGGGATCTTCTGACTAAGGTGCTCGTCATCTATATCCAACGAGACTCCAACTATAGCTCCTTTGGCAGGCGCCTTGCTCCGAAGATCAATACATGTTACTTTCTGCCAGATCCAGTGAATGCTTCTTCTGTTCTTCATCAAACACAATTAACCAAAACAAGGCCGCTTCTAGTCACCTTGATTGAGTCCACCTTTCCCACTGCTTTCTTCACAGTCCTGGATATTACAAATGGATTTCCCAAATGAATCTCCTTGTCCAATAAGAAGTGCATTATGGGACCCGGTCCTTGTCTTCTTCTACAACTTTCACTCATTTTGTTCCGTTCATTATCACACTTCACTTGCTGCACTTTCAGATTCAGTCGTCATTTCCTTTCTTTCCAAGTCCCTTTATTCAAGTTAACCGGAGCCGTACAAGTACAGTATACCAGTATGGAAATGTATGCGCTCACTAACTGTAAGTCGCTCTGGATAAGAGCGTCTGCTGAATGACTAAAATGTCATAGTATAGTGCATTGAGCTGGGATCTCCCGCTCTCCCACTGCTGTGCGCGGGCTGCGTGTCCCCTAAATGGTCACATGGCCTCCGATACAACATGCCACACATAATAATTATTCTTAATTCTATGTAAAAAAATATATATATATGCTTATATTTCTGCATATCTAAGCATACCTCTTGAGCTGTCTGTATCCTCCTGAATGGTGGTTCTTTTAAATAAACTAAATATGCTTCTCTGCATCGCTGCTAAAATCTGGGTAAAAGATTGAAAGGAAATGTGAGTCTTATTCAGTACATTTAGTTACTGCTTGCTTTTCTAAAGTCTAGCAACCTTGCCAGCAGGCATGCCAGCTAAGATAGTTAGACAAGCTAGCTACTCTAACGTGATTGATAGCCTGAAATGGGTTCTTGGTAGCTAGTTATGAGGTTGGGAGATGGGAACCAATCTGGGCTAGCTAAAGCCAACTTCATAAAACAACTGCTATGATCATCTGAGCCTTGCTGATAGAGAACCACATTAGTGTCCGACTTTCGGCTGTCGCTGTTGCAACTCCCCTGTCTTAACTCCTCAGTTGCTTCAGCCACTCAAACGCACCCACTGTTGACGTTTTGGGTTGACGTTTTGGGTTGTCGGAGGTGTAACTGCGTTGGAGGAGCTGTCAAATCGGAGAGCGGCTGCACTTGTTGTCATTGTCACTAAACCACACCCGTCCTTAAACCCGGGTTATAAATTCACAAGGAGAAAGTGTAGGCTATGCAGAAATAATGACAGTCAAGTGGTCATCCTAACCGAGGTGTAGATCACAACACACATTCATGTGATCCAACTTGTAGCAAGGCTGCATGGGATTTATACTAATGCGACTCGGTGCATCCCATGGCAATGTCCGTGATAAGTATAACGCCGGGAGCCGCTTGCTGATTTGACAGCTCCAACGCAGTTACTGTACACCTCCGACATCGCTAAATATCAACATTAATACTGCTATGCATTATGGGTTAAGGCAGATCAGAATCTAGCCCCTAGTTTTGATTTACATTTGGTTGAGTTTTTAACTTTGATGTGAATTCAACGTGAAATCAACACAAAATGTCACCATGTCATTGGATTTAGGTTGTAAGAAAATAATAGGAAAATCCCTTAATGCCGCGTTCACGTGCTAGTCGGACCTAACCAGTTAGCAAGTCGGAAATTTCAGAGTTTCCTAGTTGCAACTTGCATTGATGACTTTTTGCAAATCCAAACAGTTTCCCACATTGATTAAAAATGCATCCAATTTTTTTTCGTTGCCATGACGTGGAAACAACGTTAATTCAACCAGTTTTTACCCAGTGGGACACACTTTCAATTTCCTAGACAGCGGAGACCTTTATATTCCAGTCTACTTATTTTTATAGAAAGTCACTAAATGTTCATCTGAGGCTGCATCCCAAACGGCACCCTCTTCCCTACATAGTGCACTACTTTAACCCTCTTCCCTACATAGTGCACTACTTTAACCCTATTCCCTACATAGTGCACTACTTTAACCCTCTTCCCTACATAGTGCACTACTTGAACCCTATTCACTACATAGTGCACTACTTTAACCCTCTTCCCTACATAGTGCACTACTTTAACCCTCTTCCCTACATAGTGCACTACTTGAACCCTATTCACTACATAGTGCACTACTTTAACCCTCTTCCCTACATAGTGCACTACTTTAACCCTATTCCCTACATAGTGCACTACTTTAACCCTCTTCCCTACATAGTGCACTACTTTAACCCTATTCCCTACATAGTGCACTACTTTAACCCTATTCCCTACATAGTGCACTACTTTAACCCTATTCCCTACATAGTGCACTACTTTAACCCTATTCCCTACATAGTGCACTACTTTAACCCTCTTCCCTACATAGTGCACTACTTTAACCCTATTCACTACATAGTGCACTACTTTAACCCTCTTCCCTACATAGTGCACTACTTTAATAGGGTACCGTTTGGGACGCGCCCTGAGTTTGCCTGTAGGTTCATCCATGTTAATCGGTTTGGCTGACCTCCCATCCCAGAATTCAATAGGTTCCGTCCAATGATGCATTGGTCTGTTATTTTTCTGCAGGGCTGACAGGCTGGCGGTGTTCAGAATGTCTTTGTTATGTAAAAAAAAAAAACTGTGAGTCAGCCCTGAGCCCTTACCGCAGTGGGAGAGGATGAGTGCATCCCAAATGGCACCCTAGTCCCTATATAGTGCACTACTTTTGACCAGAGTATATATAGGAAATAGAGTACCATTTGGGATACAGACGAGAGCTTTTTGAGGTATTCCATATGTGCTGTCATCTGCATTTCTGTCCGCTGAGGGACTGGACTATGTGGTGGATGTTGCTGGCCGCTGAGGGACTGGACTATGTGGTGGATGTTGCTGGCCACTGAGGGACTGGACTATGTGGTGGATGTTGCTGGCCAGTGAGAGACTGGACTATATTGTGGATGTTGCTGGCCAGTGAGAGACTGGACTATGTTGTGGATGTTGCTGGCCACTGAGGGACTATGCTAGAAT